GATTTTTCATAGTATATATTTTCCATGGACAAAAGTTCATAGAAGGAGGCCCCCTCAGGGTGAGTCTAGGTATACAGTCTATGGTTATTGGCAATATATTTTTGTAGCTTCTTTCAAAATAACACATTTGGGAACCATGTTTAATAAAACATTTTTAATGCATTTTTTAATTTTGAAAAAAGTTTTAGTTTTAATACGTCAAAATTTAAAAATGTTAAGAGAAATTTGCTTGAAACTTAAAGGAGAAAGGTTAGGATTCAGTTCAAATAGTAGGTAGATGAATCTATCAACAGTTAAAAAGACAAAAATCCTTAAATATAGAAATCAAAGCATCAAAGAAAATCAATAATATTTTAGTCTAAAGTAAATTCTATTTCACTAGTTCAGACCTACGTAATTAATCTCTCTTCTACTAAATTTGCAGTGTTACTGTGGTCTGATCTTTCCATTTAAACTCTGGAAGTTAACATTCAGTTCCGGACTTGTCCCTACCATTAGGCTTGGTCGATTCTAGTACGCTTATTTCTGTGTGACAGACTTTAGTTTCCCCTCAACATTTTTTTTTGGGGGGGGGGGGGAGGTTTTCACTATAGGGGGCTTGCGCTCGCCAGACAGCCAGAGGGGGACATAGAGACAGAAAGGGAAAGTGAGAAATCACCCCCCAGAGGGGATGGTCACACCGCAATCCCTTCTCCTCCATTCTCCTCTCAGGATCTTGGGCACGCACACACACATGCCCTGCACACACACATGCCCTACGTGAGTTTTAAGCCACCGGGTCTGGGACGCGAACCGCGGTCGACTATGTGGGAGTCCAGCGACATAGCCATTACACTAACTGATGGTTTCCCCCTTCAATGTTTTTTGGAGAGCTGGCATGGTGTTGATAAATTCTTTTAGTTTTTTTTTATCTGAGAATGTTTTTGTCTTTTTTTGCCATATGGAAGATAATCTTGCTGGGTATAATATTCTTGGTTGAAATTGTTTTTCACTTAACACTTTGAATATATTTTCCCATTCTTTCTTTGTTTGCATTGTTTCTGATGAGAGATCTGATGTTAGCTTTATGGAATATCCTTTAAAAGTAATTTGACATTTCTCTCATGACAATTTTAGTATCTTGTCTCTGTCTGTGGTTTTGGTCAATCTGGCTGTGATGTGCCTTGGGGAAGATCTTCTTGGGTCAATTCTATGTGGGGTCCTTTGTATTTCTTGGGCCTAGATATTTGAGTGCCTCTCTAGATTTGGAAAGTTTTCTTTCAAGATTTCATGGAATTTATTATCAATGTCCTTATTAGCTTCTTTACCTTCTGGGATACCAATGATCTGGATGTTTGGGAGTTTAATGTCATCTAGTACTACGCAAATGTTACTCTCAATTTTTTGGGTTATTTTCTCAGTCTTTTTGGTGAATTTTTCTAGGTCAGAGGTTCTATCTTCTACACCTGAGATTTGACCTTCTGCAAGATCTAATCTCCTTTTGATATCTTCAAGGGAAGTTTTGATTTTTCAGTTCTTTTTTATGATGTGTATCTCCTCTTTCAGATCATGCAAGAACTTCCTCATCTCCTGGAACTCAGTGTCTCTTTTCTCTTGCATCTTCTGGAGTTCATTGTCTCTGTTCTCTTCCATCTCTGTTAGCTTTGTCACCACAAATATTTTAAATTCTTTATCTGACATTTCCACGAGTTCCCTTATATTCTTTGTGGAGGAAGAGGAGCTATTCTTTTCCATTAGAGGAGAGATATTTTCTTAGTTTCTTATATCTCTTGTGCCTCTGTAGTGGGTTTATAGTCATCTGATGGATTATAAGTTTTTCCTGGCTCCTGGCTAGACTAGGGAGCAGGAGGGTGAAGTCTGGGCAGAGGGTCTTTGGTTAATAAAATATTTTTTTAGGGCCAGCCCATTGCTTGGTGGTTAAGGAAGCCAATCCCACATGGTCAAAGGTATAGTTTCAGTCCTGCCCTGGTACTTTAAGAAACGCCCTGTGTGGTGTGTGTGTGTGTGTGTGTGTGTGTGTGTGTGTGTGTTCAGAATCCTGACAGGATAGAGAAATGGGAGGGATTATAGTGTGACCACGCCTGAGAGGGTGTCTTCTCCACTGGGTGGTGCTTTCTTCCTCTCTCTCTCTCTCTCTCTCTCTCTCTCTCTCTCTCTCTCTCTCAAATGCATGTGCCCACTGGCAATTATTTTTAAAAGAAAATTAAAAATCCTGATAGTTCCCTTGAAATTGCTATTATAGAATGCTTCATTTTTTTAAAAAACCTGCTTCTAAAATGTGGAAACTGTGCTCCAGTTTTACCAGACAGCAATGCAAGTGGTTCAGGTTGCCAGGTCTTCAATGTGCTTTCCTAGGCGGGCTGGAGCCTGCTCCTTTCTGCCAATGCTCCAGGGCCATGCTGCCCAATAGCGGTAATCGGGGCACAACTTCCTGATACAAGTGTGTGCTTCCTGGGCTGCCTTTATGTTATATATATCTTTTTTATTTCACATGCCAGGGAGACAGAAAGTGAGAAACCACTTTGGGCACATGCGCACATGTACCTAGCATCAGTTTTAAGCTGCTGGGTCTGGGACTCAAACCACAGTTGACTATGTTGGAGTCCAGCATTGTAACCATTATGTCATCATCCCCATACTATATATTTTTATTCAAGATCTTGTTTTCTCCATTAGCCTCATCCTAACAGATTTGTTATGCTAGTTATGTTTTTATTTCCAAAATATTCCAACAAATACATTACCACTAAAATTGTAGTAAAATATATGTATAATTTCTCATACTTAAGTGCATAGTTCAGTGACATGAAGTACATTCATGTTGTGCAACTCTCACCACCATCCACCTCCAGAATGCTTGATATCTTGTAAAACTGACTCTCTACACTCATCAGACACTAATTCTCCAGTGTCCCCAACCCCTGGCCACCACCATTCTGCTTTCTATCTCTACGAATGTGACTAAATATATCATATGAGTGGTATCAGACAGTATTTGCTCTTTCGCATCTGATTTAACTCACTTAACAAGGTTTCCCCATGTTGTAACATGTGTTAGAACTGCCTTCCTCATGACCAGCAAGTTAAGTCACTGGACTCCAATGTAGTCAAAAGTGGTTTGAATCCTGAACACAACGCCTTAAAACTCGGGCCAGGCGGGAACCAGCAGTTGGCGTAATGGCTATGTTGCTGGACTCCCATGTAGTCGACCGCGGTTCGCGTCCTGGACCCAGTGGCTTAAAACTCACACCGGGCACGTGTGCGCACATGCCCAAGATCCCGAGAGGAGAATGGAGGAGAAGGGATTGTGGCATGACCATCCCCTCTGGGGGGTGATTTCTCGCTTTCTGTCTCTATGTCTCTCTCTGTCTGTCTGGCGAGCGCACGCGCCCTATAGTGAAAACCTCTCCAAGAAAAAAAAAAAAAAAAAAAACTCAGGCCAGGCACATGTGCGTGCGTGCCCAAAATCCTGAGAGGAGAATGGAGGAGAAGGGATTGTGGCATGGCCATCTACCCAAAGGATTTCTCACTTTCTGTCTCTCTGACTCTCTTTGTCTCTCTGGCAAGCACAAGCACCCTATGGCAAAAATATCTTTAAAAAAAAAAACAACAAGAAATAGAGTAGACACCAGGACTCCAAGATGGCATAAGTTGTACCAGTGAAGAAGAAACTCATGCATGTCAAACTTGGGGAGCTGCCACGCTGGATACTGATGCGGAATTTTACCCGTAAAGGCACCGCTGGAGCATTTCAGAGAAGTTACTGTCAGTATTACAAGTACCTTAACGTGAAGATAGAGGGTGTTGCTAGGGTTTCTATGGTGCTGGCCGCTTATGTGCTCTTAGCTACTGCCTTTCTTACAAAGAACTCAAACACCAGCAGGGACACAAGGACCACTGAAGAGGACCAGCATGGACACCATACACTGAGCCAGACCTTCATCTCCTGGGCTTAGCACCCCTCCAACAGAATTTACTGAGTCCTTTCATATCCCAGTTGAGAATTCATAGCTAATAAAAGATGACTGATACATGTAAAACCAAAAAAAAGAAAGGTCCTCCTTTTGTAGGATAAGTAATATCCCATTGTGTCTATACATACTGTCCCTTGTTTATCCAGGCTCTATTGATGGACCCTGGTGGGGGAGGGGCTTACCCATATAAACATTAGCAAACTACAAATGATATCTGCACCACACTTGGGAAAATGAAAAAGAAACCTACTCAGAGAGTGAGTTGGGTAAAGGCCGCAGGTGGAGGAAGATCAGAGCTGAGGGCATAAATAAAAGGGTTGCTGGGCCCCAAGAGAAAGAGGTTCCCAAGCAGGAGGCAGCCAGTCCAGCTCCTTTGACGTTTTCTAAATCCCATCCTTTGCTACAATCCTCTCCCTTGTCTACTGATTGAAGTATGACTTTTACAGTGATTCATAATACATTTATTTTCCAATAATCCCAACCCAGCCCTTTCCTCTGGTTTGTAAACGCCTTCCTCTAACAAGGTCCTCCCAGTATCCGCACACCACCAGTGAGGAGTTCAGGCACGTGCTCCACAGGCCGAATCCGGGTGCCCAGAACCAGAAGTCGCGGAGGGGAAAAAGAGACCCCGGAAGCCAAAGGAAGAGTCCAGTAAGAAGCCAAGTCCCGAGGGCTTCGGTATAGGAGCACAGGCCACAGTCCCCATGTCCACAGCCTGGCAGTGGCCCTTACCAAGGGCGGAGGTGAATGGGGGAGTGTGGAAACCGGTGCTTTGTCGGTGCTGAGATGCTGTTGTTAGGAAATACACCCAAACCGGACACCCAGGTACATCTGCATTTCGGTGACACCACCAATACAATTGCTTCCTCTAAGAATGTCCCAAAAAGTGCAGGGGACGTGCACTGGCTGAACTTTCTGACTTATATCAGAAACCCGACCTCCGGTTCCAGGACGCCTGTCCCGGGGCCCGACCCCGCGCCGAGTCCGGTGCGGGGCCGCAGACCGGAGCGCGGGGCACTCGCTCACCTTCAGCACCAGGACTTTGAGCATCTTCCCGGCGCCTGCCGCGGACTCGCCTGGGACACGTGCACCGTAGAGGCCGCGGATTTCCAGCCTTTCCGCGGAGTTTGTGCTTCTGCCCTCCCGGGGGCAGTCCCTGCGCTTGGACCGGGGCTCCAGGGTCTCTTCTCCCAACGCGCCCACGCGGGCCGGGCCACGCCCCGGAGACGACGCGCGCCGTCCTCCAACTCGACGCCTCTGGGGGCGGGTTGTGCTTCCTGCCCGCCTTGCCTCGGGCTCCCGCAACCGCCACCCCGCCAACGCGGACACG